AAAAGGGGTGGTTTGGGGGCCCAATGGGGGATTATTGGGGTTGGGGTTTAGGGGGGGGCCCTCAAAAAAAACCAATGGGGGGATTTTTGGAGGTTGGGATTTTTTTAAATTTTGGTAGGTTTGGGAAAAAAAAAACCCGGGGTAAAAAAACCCAATGGGGAGTAGTTTTTTTTTTTTTTTTTTTTTTTTTTTTTTTTTTTTTTTTTTTTTTTTTTTTTTTTTTTTTTTTTTTTTTTTTTTTTTTTTTTTTTTTTTTTTTTTTTTTTTTTTTTTTTTTTTTGGGGGGGGGGGGGGGGGGGGGGGGGGGGGGGGGGGGGGGGGGGGGGGGGGGGGGGGGGGGGGGGGGGGGGGGGGGGGGGGGGGGGGGGGGGGGGGGGGGGGGGGGGGGGGGGGGGGGGGGGGGGGGGGGGGGGGTGGGGGGGGTGGTTTGAGTGGACTCAGACATAGTGGGAGTAATGAAAATTGGGGGGTTGGGGACTCGACATAGTGGGGTAGTGTTGGTGGTTGGACTCAGACAGGGGAGATGTATTGGTAGGTTAGCCCGGACTAGTGGGAGAGATGTATTGGTAGGTTAGGACCAACTAGTGGGAGTAATGTATTGGTGGTTAGACCAGCATAGTGGGAGTAATGTATTGGAAAGTTAGACCGACATGTGGGAGTGATGTTTGGGTTTAGGTTAGGCCCAGACATAGTGGGAGTAGATTTTGGGAAATTAGGACCCCATATGGGAGTAGATGTTTGGTAGGTTTGACTCAGACATAGTGGGAGTGATTTTATTGGGGTAGGTTTAGGCTCAGCCCTAGTGGGAGTAGATGTAATGGGTCTGATAGGTGGTTGGGTTGGGTGGGGGGTTGTTGGTGGTTAGGCGCAGCTGGTGGGAGGGTGGTGGTTGGGAGGGGGGGGGGGTGGTATTTGGTAAATGGGGAATGGGTAGGTTAGGACCGAACATTGGAGTAATTTGAGGTAGGCCAAAAGGGAGGATTGGGAGGTTGGGAAACCCAACAATTGGAGGTTAGATGAATGGTAGGTTAGGACCCTAGACATAGGGGAGTAGATGTATTGTGGTTGGGACTCAACAAGGGGTGGAGTAGATGTATTTGGTAGGTTAGGACGAGACTAGGGGGAGTGATGGTATTGGTAGGTAGGACTCAACATATGGGGAGAGATGTTTTGGGTAGGTTAGACTCGACATAGTGGGAGTAATGTTTTGGGTTAGTTAGGACCGTGCCATGTGGGAGTAGATGTATTGGTGGGTTAGCCCCAGACATAGTGGGAGTAATGTATTGGTAGGTTAGGAACCGAAAGACAAGTGGGAGTAATTATTGGTAGGTTGGACCTCAGAAAGTGGAGTAGATGTTTTTGGTGGGGGTTTAGGACTCAGACATAGTGGGAGTAGATGTATTGGTAGGTTGGGAAACCCTAGACTAGGGGAGTAGAGTATTGGTGGTTAGGACTCAGACTAGGGGAGTAGATGTATTGGTAGGTTAGGCCCTCAGACATAGTGGGGTAGATGTATTGGTAGGTTAGGACTAGAATGTGGGGTAGTGATTGGGGGGGGGGTAGGTTAGGCCCTCAACAAGTGGGAGTAGATGTATTGGTAGGTTTAGGGCCCGACATAGTGGGAGTAATGTATTGGTAGGTTAGGACCCTAGACATTTTGGGAGTAGATTTTATTGGTAGTTAGACCCAGACTTTGGGGAGTAGATGTATTGGTAGGTTAGGACCCAGACATAGTGGGAGTAGATGTATTGGTAGGTTATGACTCAGACATATGGGAGGAATTATTGGTGGGTTTAGGACTCAGACTAGTGGGAGTAGATGTAGGGTAGGTTAGGAACCCGTGCCATAGGTGGGAGTAGTTTTTGGTAGGTGTGACTCAGACAAGTTGGGTAGATGTAATTGGGTAGGTTGGACTCAACATAGTGGGAGTAGATGTATTGGTAGTTAGACCCAGACTATGGAGTAGATGTTTGGTAGGTTAGACCGTAGACAGTATTGGATGTGATGTATTGGTAGGTTAGGACTAAACATATGGGAGTAGGTATTGGTAGGTTAGGACTCGACATAGTGGGGTAGATGTATTGGTAGGTTAGGACCCTAGACATAGGGGGAGTAATGATTGGTAGTTTAGGACCAGACAAGGGGGGGTAGATTATTGGTAGTTGGACCAACCCTAGGGGGAAGATGTATGGTATTAGGACCAGACATTGGGATAGATTTATTGGTGGGTTAGGACCAACCAGTGGGAGTAGATTATTGGATTTTGGACCAACATAGTGGAGAGATGTATTGGTGGGTTGGACCAGACATAGTGGGAGTTTTTATTGTGGGTTAGGCCCAACATGTGGGATAGATGTTTGGGTAGTTGGCTCAACATAGTGGAGAGATTATTGGTAGGGTTGGCCCCCACATATGGGAGTAATTTTTGGGTAGGTTAGGACCCGAAACTAGTGGATAATTTTTGGTGGGTTGGACCCAGACTATGGGAGTAAGTATTGGTAGTTAGGACCGACATGGGGGGTAGATGTTTGGTGGGGTTGGGGCTCAACAAGTGGGAGTAGAATGTATTGGTAGGTTAAGTTTGCTAGTGGAGTAGAGTTTTGGGTAGGTTAGGACCCGTAACATGTGGGGTAGAGAAGGGGAGGGGATAAAAGGGGAGAGGAGGAGGGGGAAAAGAAAAGGGGGGAAATGAGGATTTAGGTCGACAAGTGGGGGGGAAGGGGGAGGATTTAAAAAGGGGGGAAATTTTTTTTGGTAGGTTAGGCCGGACATTGGGAGTAGAGATTGGGGGCCGGGACTGTGGGGAAAGGATTTTGGCCCCGAGAAAAAGTGGAAAAATGTTTGGGTAGGGGACTAGAATGGGGAAGATGAGGTGGTTTATTTTTGTGGGGTAAGAGGTGGGAAAGGGGGGAAAAGGGGAAAAAGGGGGGGAAAAGATTAGGGGAGAAAATGTATTGGGGGTTGGACCAGACATATGGAGTAGATGTTTGGTAGGTTGGGACCAACATAGTGGGAGTAAAAATTATGGTGGGTTTTGGGACCAGACTGGGGGAGAATTTTTGGTAGGTTGGGACCCTAACTTTGGGGGAGTAGATTATTGGGTAGGGTTGGACCAACTATGGGAGTAGAGTTTTGGGTGGGTTAGGACCGACATGGGGGGAGAGATTTTGGGTGGGTTGGACCAACATATGGGAGAATTTTGGTAGGTTGGGCCCCTAGAAAATGGGGGTAATGTATTGGTAGGTTGGGGACCCCAACATGTGGGAAAATGTTTTGGGTAGGTTAGGACCCAGACATTGGGGTGATGTTTTGGTTTAGGTTGACCAGACTAGTGGAGTAGATATTGGTAGGTTAGGACTCAACTTGGAGTAGATTGGTAGGTTGGGGATCATAGGAGTAAGTAGGGGTTTTGGGGGAAAAGTAATTTATTAACATAGTGGGAGTAGTTATTGGTAGGTTGGACTCGACATAGTGGAGTAATGTTTTGGGAGGTTAGGACCAGACAAGTGGGGAAAGATGTATTGTGTTAGACCCGTAGACATTGGATAGATTATTGGTAGGTTAGGGGGGCCAGCATGTGGGAAAGAGTATTGGAGTTAGGACTTAACGGGGGAGTATTTTTAGGTTGCCCCGACATAGTGGGAGTTAATGTTGGAGGTAGGACCCAAATATGGGTAGATTATTGGTAGGTTGGCCCGAGACATAGTGGAGTAGATTTTTGGTAGGTTTGGACTCAGACATAGTGGGGTAGATGTATTGGTAGGTTAGGCCCGACATAGTGGGAGTAGATGTTTTGGGTAGGTTAGGACCCGTAGAAAGGGGGAGTAGATGTATTGGTAGGTTAGGACTAAATGGGAGTAGATGTATTGGTAGGTTGCCCTAGAATAGTGGAGTATTTATTGTAGGTTAGGACTCCGTAGAATTGGAGTAGATGTATTGGTAGGTTGGACTCAGACATAGTGGGATAGATGTATTGGTAGGTTAGGCCTAGACATAGTGGGAGTAGATGTATTGGTATGTTAGACTCATACATAGTGGGAGTAGATTTTGGTAGGTTAGGACTGACATAGTGGAGTAGATGTATTGGTAGGTTAGGACTCAGACTAGTGGGAGTAGATGTATTGGTAGGTAGCCGACACTAGTGGAGTGGATGTATTTGGTAGGTGGACCGTAGACATAGTGGGGTAGATATTGTAGGTTAGGACTCAGACATAGTGGGTAGAGTATGTAGGTTGGAAATTTACTTGGGTAGTAGAGTAGGTATGATGTAGGTTAGGACGCCGAAATGTGGGAGTAATGTATTGGTAGGTTGGACTCAGACATGGGGAGAGTATTATTGGTAGTTGGACCGAGAATAGTGGGAGTAGATGTATTGGTAGGT